GACTCGGCGTACGTTTCCTGGATCCAGGACAGCGCCGTAGTCGATCTGGGCTTGCGAAAAGTCGGGGTTGGCGCGGCTACAACACACGTGAGCGTCGAGATATGCAAAGGCGTTGGAGTACGCTAATGCTGGGGTTGGGCGTGGGCCAGAGGCAGTTGGCGAGGCGCTCGCATTGCCCGGGAAGCGCCGCGCACGAGCCATTGCCCGGGACGACGATACAGGCGTTGTTGCGGTCGCGCGCCGCGTTCGTGCTCGTGTTGGGCACGCAGCGCGTGAGATCGGCCGCCGTCGACGTGAGGTGGCAGAATGCAATCATCATGTTTGTCAGCGACGTATTGTACCAGGACGCCGACTCGGACCGGAGGCCGTCCATGGCCTGCACGGCCGAGCGGCCCTGCAGCACGACGCGCGCCTGGTCGAGCGTGTCGAGCGTCGAGAGGTTCGTCGCCTTGAGGCTGCCTGTCTGCGGCTGCGTCACTTTGGTCGGCGCGTTGGTGGCCAAGAGGCTCGGGCACTGCGTCGCCCACGTGGCAAAGCCGGCGGCCGAGCACTGGTTCGCGGGCGGCCAGCTCTGCCCATGCACGCTGACGGCGGCAATGGCCACGGCAGCGAGGACTCGGACGGCCATGAGGTCTCGGCGAATCTCGGAATGAAGCGCTAGGTATCGCGCTCGCTGTTTTTAGAGTGCTAAAGATAGCATCTTACAGTATTTATAGCAGCATCCTGGTGCAATGTGGCGAGAATAGTGTATCTATGAGCGATTCCTGCTTGGGCAGTGGTAGAGTGGCAAGAGGATCATGACAGCTCTCCCATCGCTGCTCGCGCAACGCGATCGACCATCGAGTCCTTCCCTCCACTTGCTACTAAGCTGAGCTAGTACCACTCTTGCTACGACCACTGTCCGGATAGCGGCACGTGGCACGTTCTCCGACGTGTGCCGAAAATAGCCTACTGTATTACACTATTTCGGTGCTTTCGGCGGATGCCGAAGCCAGCGGTTACACGCCCGCCATTTTGAAAAGATCGCGCGTGTTGCGACCAGGGGTACACATAGGCTATTATCAAGAGTACATAAATAACTATCTATGCATTCTTGCTGTTCTTCACCCCTGGTGCGATTGCCATGACTCCAACCAGCGGATTCAGTGTCTCAACCGATCGACTACATACCGGTACCTAGGAGCGGTAGTACCGAACCATTTGGCTCGATCGGTACCAAAAGTACTACCTAAATATGTAATATATTGAATTGATGACCTCTTGATCGGTACTTGACCGGATTTGAAGTCGGGAGGACGTGGTTAACTATGCAAGTACTACGCTTTTTCTTCCGCCGGAAAAGAGAGTTTTACAGTCGACAGAAGCACGCGTTCCGCCTGCGATGACAGCAAGTCGCATCTTTACCATCGAAGAGAGGACCTAAACAATCTAGTAGCCCCAGCGACCGTGCTACGCCGCCATGTCCAGAAGCAACCTTGGAAGCAGCTCTTGATTTAAAAGATCTAACGAACGGCAAATTGAGTTTCCGCAATCAAGACCAAACTACTTGGGGGCAACAACCGTGTTGGTGTCCGCCATGCCGGTGGTCGACGAGGCGGGTTAGTAATTTGACTGACACTACCAATTTGGAAATGGCTTGACCTCGTATGCTCTGCGCCTGGGTCTTGGCTTTTGTTCGACCTTATAACTGGTTTTCTGGATCGCTCGTCCTTGTGCGGAAAACCTCTTCCACTGCTTGGAAACGGCCCGAATACCCTGAGAACCAAATGCTATGTACTAGTATGCGCGACGTCAGTTTAACCACGACGTAGCTCGAGTGCTGTGTAAGTTTTGTGTTGCGATTGGGGCAGCAAGGTTTTGCAAACCTCGCCGTGTTGTCCTCTGCTTGTTTCAATGGGCTTGCCAAATTTCAACTCCACGGGCACATTAAAAGGTCTCAAAACGTGCATATCCAAACCCGCTTGTAGAATGTGGGGCCCAACATGCTTCGTCATGACCATGGCAAGCTACGAGGACATTCGCTTCCGCTTCCTTGAAGCGCGCGCCTTGAAGCTGGTCAAGTCTTCTACCTGGCGCGACAGCGTCTATGTCTTCCCGCCCGGCTTTCGGCCCATCTACGACTGCAAGGAACCGACGATGGCTGTGACCTTCTTGTCGCCGTACGTACTGGGCTTGCCCCGTGGTGCCTTGTCTGATGCGCGGCTTCCGTTGCACTTTGCGATCTACGAAGGTGACACGGTGGCGACGCAGCGCATCGTTGCGTGTCGGCCCGACCTTGCCTCGTCCGAGGCCATCGCCGACGCCTTCTACGACGCCCACTTGAGATCGCCTAATATCGCATGGCCCTGGCTATCTCATCACCCTGCGGGTATGGATTGGACGCCGTACAAGGTTTTCAACTATGTAGTTTTAACCAAATTCCAGCGACGCTGGAATTGT